ACTCTTCTCCGGGGTATAGAACAGCATCTTCTCCGGGGTATAGAACAGCATCAATAAGAGTTAACTGAATGAAAACTCATGTAGCGTAGGAAACCGAATAGGAAGTCTCCATTGTTTGTGATGAAAGCAAGATGCAAACCGTTTCCTAAGGGCTTCAATATGATATGAAATAAGTTCTGGATAGGCTTGCGATTATTACAGTGTTGGATTTGTAGGCGGTGAAGCTCGCCGAAGAAGGGCCAAAGCCATTTTCGACAAAGCTCAGGTAATAGATGCTGCCGCCATAGATCTACCAACCTCCGAAGACATACATGAAATAAACTGTGTAACGACCGACTAGGCTGGCCTTGTTCATACTTATCAAACTAGAGTAATGAAAACCTTTGCTGTTCCAGAAGACATATAAAATAGTACTTCCAGTCCCTGACAACGGTTGTAAGCGCACAATTATCCTATGGCCAGGCCGGGGGCAAATTCCTTAAAACTTTGGAATTTTTTGAGCATAGCAATGTTTCGTGCGTTTCAAGGCTTGAAAAACTTGATTTTTTTGAGCATCACAGTGCTTCGTGGTTTGAAACTCACAAAACACTGTAATGCTCAAAAAACATAAACTTTTCACAGCCTCAAGGCTCACTTTTTTTGAGCATAGCAGTGTTTCGTGGTTTAAAACTCACAAAACATTGTAATGCTCAAAAAAGTACACTTTTCATTGCCTCAAAGCTCACGAAACACTGCTATGCTCAAAAAATTCCAAAGTTTTAAGGAATGTGCCCCCGTCCTGGCCATAGATGCTAGAATTTTTGAATTTTTGGAATTTTTGGAATTTTTTGAGCATTGCAGTGTTTCGTGAGTTCTGGGGTTGGAAATGATGGAATTTTTTGAGCATAGCAGTGTTTCGTTGTTTAAAATACACTTTTTACAGCCTCCAAGCTCACGAAACACTGCTATGCTCAAAAATTCCAAAGTTTTAAGGAATGTGCCCCCGTCCTGGCCATAGATGCCAGAATTTTTGAATTTCTGTATTTTTTGAGCATTGCAGTGTTTCGTGAGTTCTGGGGTTGGGAATTTTGGAATTTTTTGAGCATAGCAGTGTTTCGTTGTTTAAAACTCACAAAACACTGTAATGCTCAAAAAAATTCCACTTTTTACAGCCTCCAAGCTCACGAAACACTGCTATGCTCAAAAAATTCCAAAGTTTTAAGGAATGTGCCCCCGTCCTGGCCATAGATGCCAGAATTTTGGAATTTTTGGAATTTGTTGAGCATTGCAGTGTTTCGTGAGTCCTGGGGTTGGAAATTTTGGAATTTTTTAAGCATTGCAGTGTTTCGTGCGCCCCATGCCCCAAGAACCACGATGGCGTGGATCTTGGGGGGGGGGGGGGGGGGGGGGGGCGAGCATATATATATATATATATATATATATATATATACATACATAGACACATCCACAGAAAACACAAAATTATGCACATGTGCACACATGTTCGTACCTGCCCGTGTAAGCGGACAGGCATAGGCACATCTACATGAATGCGCACCTGGTTACGTACAAAAGTGTGCGCACACGCATATGTACGTATGTACGCATGTATGTATGTATCTATGTATCTATGTACCCATGCAAGTCTATACTATGTAATTATGTGTATATATGTACAACCGTACCTATCTTGTCTCTATTTATACATATACATACATATATATATATGTGTATCTAGACCCACCTCGACCCATTGGGGCGAGCCCCAGGTCAGCACGGAGCCATCTGTCTGCAGAGCAGCGAAAGCCTCTGCTGCACCTCAGAGAATGCCAGGACTCCTGGAGAGCTTCTCGAATTTTGTAGGATCACGCCGGCTGCCGCAAGGGTTGTGAGCATGCTGACTGGGATGGTCCCATTTCGTTGCTCTGAACATATACCCGACCTACTGTATCACTTGAGCTTCTCGGCAGCTTGCCTTTCATGTCTTTGGGGCCCCTGAAGACTTTGAACCCTGTGTCCCCAATTTGATGACAAATCTCGAAAACCAAATCCCACAACCCAACTGGCATTTATTTGGAGCTTCTGTTCACTGGGAAGATTACAACATTATGATACGGGTTGCAAGATACGAGCGTAGCGTGGCGTATAGTACGATGTGCAGTTCAAGGTCTTTGGCAGCCGTGGCACCCTCCACCTTCTCCACGTTTCTCAAGTGTTCCGGAGCGGAAGACTGTTCTCCACCAAGGTAGCCCCATGTGAGCACAGTTCCTCGGGATTGGAAGCCTGAGCCCCTCCAAACCTAAACCCTTAAACTCTATATTTACACCCTGCAGCTCACAAAAACCTGATACCCCTTACTAAACTTACCTTGGGTTAGTAGGGAATGGAGGAATGGGGTAGAATTACAACTACTATTACTACCATTCTTCCATTCCCTACTAACCAAAGGCAAGTAAAATTGGCTGGCTTTGCGCTAAGGGTAGCGAAGCACTAACCCGAGGCCGAGCTCAACCCTTACAACTCAATCGATGCCAACAGCCTAAAATAGGTGCCTCAGGAATCAGGATACGGTTTAAGGAACCCTTATTAAGGAACCCTAAGGATTGATCTGGGTAATAATTCAAGCTTCTTCACCACTTGAAAGATTATGGGTCTTGGGAAGGGCCCCAAAGCCCAAGATATGAATGATTAACTCTAACCTGCCCTTAAGCCCTCCAGAACTGAAACCCATGAACATAGGGGCCTTAATAATTAGAATAGGGTTTTGAGGCCCAGTATACCATAAGTCTGATACGGAACCCCCAAAACAATATGGGTGATTAAAAAGGCCACTTTATTGTAAACCCTAAGCCCTCAGGGTGTAGGGTTTTGGGCAAGCCATGCCGCGACTCCGTTCACTCGGACCAATACGAAGGCACGGGAGCTTGAGTACAAAGCGGCCTGACAACATTTCAGCGGTATGGGGCATATAGGTTTTAGTGCGAAGGTCGACCATACGTCACTTCTTTTTTTATTAAAGCAAGAGCAATGATCATTGAGTATCTGCTCATTAGGTAGTCTGTTGCCGCTCCTCTCTCTCTTAACCGAGTAGCGACTGCTGGGATGCACGTATCTAGGTTTGCACTCTTTGGCATATGACCATGCTACGTTGTTATTCTTAATCCGCTGCGGTGGGACATATCTGCTTTCTGGATGTCGAAGGCTCGATTATCGTGCGCTACTTGTTATGTGCCTTGCGAGCAATCGCCGTCAAAATGTCGCCGTCCTGGAGATGCAAAGGTCGCAAGTCGCAAGTCCTCAAACTTACAGCTACTTGACGCAAAAGGCTGCAGTTGGAATGCTGGTTGTCCTCGAGTACATATGTTGGCATAGATACCGCACTTCAGCCTGCCCTTAGAGGCTCCAAGCAGCGTTGAGGGTTTCGAGTATCAGTCTTTGAAGGGTATTATAAGGGTCCCCAGAGATCCACAGGGTTTCTTTCAAGGGGACTATACAGGTTCCTTTAAGGGATCTATAGGAACCGCTGGGCTCTGTCCTGAACGCCGGCGGACAGCATGGTATCCGGCCACTTCAAGCGAGATCCTTGCAGTTCGAACTTCAGCTCTAATTATGTTATTATAAAAAACGTTATACAACATGAAATTACTTTAATTATAGAGAGAATATACTAGATCATGTATATATACATATATATATATATATATATGTGCATCAATTCCACGGATCAGGGAAGGCGTCCAAAAGGACCCTATGCTGCTGATGCCTGCTGCTTTACAGGTATATCAGCTTCCAAGGTAGTGTGTCCAGGTGCAGTGTTTTGCTCACCGGTTTCTTTGGCTCTCTCCTGCTGTGTACGGGGTTTGGGCAGCAAAGCCGCGGCCAGGTCTAGACGCTGGTCGTGATGCAATGCTTGCAACAAGTACCACCTCCATGCGCCATCCTCATTTCAATAATACCGGCAGGCCCCTTCTTACAGCGCGGATCCAAACGGGGTGAGTCGGTGTGATCTGCGAGCTGGGAGGTTTCGGGGTTAGCGTCGTCTCCAGTCAGGGCTTATTCACGAGTTATGGGACCCGGATGGGCCTCCGCAGTTCTGAGAAGATCGTAAGGCTTCATAAACTGCAAAAGGGCGTAGCGCGTACGGATTTCAGGCAAAGACCGACACTCTGCAGACAGATGGAGGGGGTGTCTAAGTCGTTCCCTTCTCTTCGAGTTCTCATTTCGGGGGAAAATGTAGTCTTCCCGGTGGTCCCAGCACCCTGGAGGCCCAGAACCCCGGACCGCAACTTCCAAGTCAAACTATCGAAACTCAGTTCAAACTTGCAGACCCTGCCCACCCTAAATCCCAAACCGCAGTCTAAACTGTCTCTAAACTGCAATACACTCAATAAACCCTAAACTCTCAACCTCATGTCTCAAGATGTCACAAACGTACAGCAGATCTTGAGCTTACCGTGGGTTCGGGTTTGGGACTTTGACTTCGAAAGGTTTAGGGTGTAGGTTTTTCCCCCTCCTACCTAGCAACGACGAAGCCCGCATTGCAGGGTGTTTCAGTTGGGTTTAGGGTTTTCGGGTTTCGAAAGGTTTAGGGAAAGAGCTGGCGACCAGGCATCCCATAGAGCAGATCAGCCAGCGGATTCCAACTCCTGGGCTTGGACCAAGAGCAAAGCCCCAAGGCTCCATGTACCCATATAGTAGATACTTAGGCCTTAGAGTACCTATATAGGGATCCCTTTAAGGCTTAAGTATCCACTATAAAGGTACATGGAGCCTTTGGGAAGGATATAGGTTTCGATGCTCGCACTCGCACAAGGCAAGCAAGGCTCCACATAATCCACAGTATCTCCACTAGGTGTGGCAGAACATGACAATGACGACACTTTCACAGAAACAAGTACTTTCTGTGGGGTCGAAACATCGGCTGTAAAAATACACCTAATTTGTGGGCCTCTGCTTTGAAGCATTTGCTTTCCAGGGCCCGCAATGAGACATGCAACGTCACCATGAAGAAAAGGGTCGGCTCAGTCGGAAACCTGCTCCATCGTCACCTTCTTAAAGTGCTGGAATGCTTCATGGAAAAGTGCCCGTCGATGACGCAGCAGCGACACCGATCCCGCCAGCACCGTTGCAATCAACCCGGCGAGGCTTTCGTTCCGACTCCCCTGTTGCCGCGCGAAGACCATGGCCAGTAGGATCAATCGCGGGATGTCGCTGAAGCGCCGCACGTCGCACTTGTAGAGCTCGAACAGGTAGAGGCCCTCCAAATCGAAGGGCAAGGCGATGTCCTCCTCGCAAAGGATCCGCATCAGGCCCAAGAAGTGCCAGCCGCTGAGCAGCAGCGTGCCAGCCAGGAGTCCCAAGGGAGCCCAGAGCCAAACCTTCAAACTGCAACAGCTGGAGCAGCATGCACAAGGTAAACACAGGATGGTGTCAGGACTCACGGCCTGCTGACCGAAGGCATATGCCTGGTACCTGCAGGCCCAGATGAAGCCGGGGAGCCAAAGGCTGGCTGCTAATAAGGCCCCATGGCTCCCTGCAACCAGTTCCATAATGGCGACAACAGCAGACATCCCCAGCGCGATGAAGTCCAAGACCCAGTAGGCCGCGAGCTTTCCGATAAGCCAAACGAGCTCATTGCCATTGTGCACGCTGCACCTCTCGAAGTGCGACTCTTGACAAGCCATGAGTCGGGGCTTGGTCCGCTTACCTGAGGATGGCATCATCGCCTCTGTCCGGATACTCACGCTGAGTTGAACGAGCAACAGCTCCTGCAATGCGCTGCGCGGCAGCGTGGCAAGCAACCTCATGGAGGACACTTCGTTGATGGTCTCACCCGAGACTTGAGTCGAGTACACGAGCTTGGGGATGTCAGACCCGACAATGACCGTGTGCTTGTAAGACAGAGACAGGGAGTGCTGCTCCGAGATTTCCCCGGGTTCAAAAACCACTTCGAGACTCGTCGGTCCCTGAAGCCGCAGTGCAGTCACTCTTCCCGGCCGCATCTCCAGTTGCCGGGAACCAAGCTCGTCTGCGATGGCATGCAGCTCCAGCAGATGCTCGTCTTGCCTCGGGAGCACGGCAATGTCCTGGCTGAGTTGCAACTTGTCGGTGCCGTTCAAAAGGGACACCCTTCCAGCAGAGACCTTCATGGCTTCCCCAACCTGTGCTGCCAGCTCCTCCATCCTTGGCACTTCCGGCGGCCGGATCTCCAACTCGATGAGGCACTGGCCATTCATGGTGAAGACGCGCAGTGTGAAAGGCTGCGAGGCGCCAAGAAGCTGTGCCGGGCTCGAAGCAGACCCTCCCAGGCTGCCCAGGCTCAGCTTGATCCCCGTTGTGTCGACAGCGCTTCCGGAGCCATCCTCCTCGAGCCTCTTCCAGTCACCCCGCTTAAGAGCCTCGAGCTCCACCATGCTATAAGCTGGGGAGGTATCAGGACCCGAAGAGGTCGATAAGATCCGGTGAGGGTTTTATATTTAGGGGTACTGCTGCAGGGGACCCTGGTCGATGAACGTTGGCAAGTGCAGGGCACAAGGTGGCAGGTCATTAAGCCCTAAACCCTAGCTGTAGAGTAGACGGTGGAGATCAAGTCCAAATGTGTGTAGTCTCGTCATCGCTTGAGCCAACATGGCTAGGATATGGGGTTTAGGGTTGAGGGTGTAGGGCAGTCTAGGGTTTGGGGACATGGAAACAATGACAGATGTGATGGTCATCAGCATAGGGCTCATATCCACTTGATGACTTTGGGGCTTGATGACTGGCACGTCGTTCGCTGGAAGTATGGAGGGGCTGCTGACTGCTTTTGGAGGATAAACTATGAGTCTGTCAAGTTCCGTTTTAGAGATGTGTGCTGTGGGCAGGAGAACAAACTTGCGGCAGGGAACACGCCGGTACCCAAACCCCAAACCCCACAAGTTTGTACCCTTTTATTGGCTTTCTCCTTCCCTTTTGACTCCCACAGGACTCCGGTTTCAACAGGCAGAAGGAAGTCCCGTGGGCCGCACTACTTCGGAGGCTTCATGGAATAATGGCAAAAGCCCGGTGGAGACATCTCACAAGCCTAAGCCTAAACCCCAAACCATGACCCGTGAACCCTAGAAGCCTAGTAGTCTTCCTGTCGGCACAGCGTCTCAGCTCATTCTGAGCCCTGTCGATGAGGTCCTCGGCATGCACTCGGGCTCTGGTTGCCAAGTTTCGAGTTGCAGTGAGCATGAAGTCATGGAGTCTGTGCATCATCGGAAAGGCATCTTGCACGTGTCTCTAATCCTAACGCTGCAATGCCCCAAACCCTGACCCTCCAACCTAAAAGTCAAGCCTCAACACCCCCCCACCCTTCACGACTTCCAAGCTCCACTTCCCCATACGAATCGCTCCTGCACGGTGGTGTCCGCCGCCACCTCCACAGCTGTCTGCGCCCCGCTCAGCAAGGCCACTGTCACCCGCATGGCGGCAACGAGGTCTTGCGAGATGGAATCAAGTCATTCTGGCTATTATGATTAGTAGCATTATGACTATTAGGGTTATTAGCCACTATACCACCGACCCTTATGGTGTTGGAGCTAGAATATGAAGGTGAGATTGCCTTCGTTTCGATGACAATATGTACGACATATACAACTAGTCTTATCTGCAGGTCTCTTTACAGCTCTCGAGGCTACTACATGCTACTATCGACTACGGCGCAGGCTTCAGCTTTGGAAGACGCTTGCTTCCGGCAGTGGACAAAGTCACAGTTGCAGAATTTTCGTGCTGCAATCGGCGTCCTGAATCTATTCCGCTCCGATTGCCTTTAAGTGGAGGTCTGACTTGATGCTTCTGAATTTGACAGGGGCTTGAGGTATATAGGATAACTATGCTGGGAAGCCTAATGAAGCCGAAAAAGCTTTAAACCTTTTAAAACACCAAAAGATCCTTTAAGCTCCAAACACAAATTCACCTTATAACCCTACAAACCTCCAAAAAAGATCGCTTCACAAAAAACCTGGAGACATCCTGAGATGCCAGCGGTCCATCGTGCGCTCCATGCTCCTGATTGTCAGTGGGGGCTTTAATAGGGTTCCTTTACAAAGGGTCTATAAGGAATACTATAGGGGTACTATGGTATAAGGGCCTTAATAATTAGAATAGGGTTCCTTTAAAGGGTCTACAAGGGTACTATAATGTAGGGGTCTTAAAAATTAGGTTCTGGTGCCCATCATTTCACTATACTTAAAACAAGGAACCCTGAACATAACATAGTTCATTATTTAGGCCCCGACATAATCCAAAGATCTTAAGGGTCTTGGTGTTTTGGAATGTTCAAGAACTGCTGTCGGGTTTGGAGTTTAGGATTTTAAGGTTTTGGGGTTTGGGCATAGGTTGTAGGTTCTTCCTGTATGTCCGTCCGTCCCCTGGTCTGGGCAGCTGTCTGCTCAGACTCTTTGGGGCATATCGTAATATGAATATACTAAGGAGCCCTACAGTGTTAGTAACGACTCAGGCTTCTTTCAAGTGGCTTGGGTGTGAGGCTAGGGCCTATGGTACAGAGTTCACAAGCAGAAACTGCCAAGGACTGGCACCTACGATTTGCAGCTAGACGAGAAGCGTTTCGATGCATGCAGAAGTGATAGTCGTTGCGAGCACCGGTTCCGGGATCTTGCTCCACAGTTGACTCCTGTAGCGTCAACCGTCACAGGGTCCGGGTTTGATACCCACCACTCGCCTGGGTCTGATGAAATCTTCGTACCCGTTCCTTGATGCTATGGATACTTCTGATACGAGCAACCGCTGTAGGGCTGTGCTGACTCCACCATCGTCGATCTTGCACACGTGCGACATGAGCTTCCGCACAAATGCGCTATGTTCCCTGCAAAGGCGCTATTGCGCTATCGAAAAGGTTCGGACACGAAGAAGCGATGGGCACGAGCAGCTACGATCAAGTAGGCATTCCTGGATTCTACCTTCCACTTCTACTATATTCCGTGCACCATCGCTGCAAGTCCTAAAGTTTAAACCCCGTCCCCAAACCCTAATTAGACTTTATGGACCTGAATAACTCAATAGCTTTGCAATGTGTGCCTCGTGCTGTCAACAGAACCCATGTGGGGAGGCGCCATCGGCTGGAAGCTGGAGAAGAAGCTCCTGTTGTGTAGCGCCTCCTTCATACCCTATATACCCTCAAACCTGTATACCCTCAAATCCCGTGAACCGAAAGCCCTAAACCCTGCACCCGAAACCCTTTTATGTAAAGCCTGATTTATTTAAACCCGAAATATTCCTTTTGCCACTGGTCTTGGGGCTAGCCAGATCCTGAAATATTCCTGAGCCGTAAACTCTGAACCACCCTATGCCCTATGCACTGAAGCTCCTGTTGTGCAGGGCCCTCTCAAGATCCAGGAGCTCCTGGCCACAGGCACGGCTGAGTATAATCTAGTCGCATACATTGTTCCTTTGAGGGGGTTACTATAAGGTTCCAGTATAATGTCGTTTCCAGATTAAGATACCCCCCCAGATTAGACGGGGCCGTCCCGGGCATGTCATGGGCTTAATGAAGAAGTCCATTAGACCCCACCCTAATAGTACCGGAGCTCGCCTAAACCCCCCCCGATTAGACGGGGCCATCCCCGAAAATCCGCGAAGTAAGGATTTAGGGGATTTAGAGGCTTATGACTTAACCCTAAACCCCAAACCCTGAACCCTACTGTACTACTACTGTACTACTGTACTACTGTACTACTGTACTACTGTGTACTACTACTATACTACTGTACTACTACTATACTACTGTACTCCTATTGTACAACTGCAATACTTTACTAAGTACTCTCTATCTACTTACTACTATACTTAATAATTAACCCCATCCCCACATAATCGGGGGGGGCGGGAAAAACTTGAACCCATGAACAAGTTCAAGCGGGCTAACCTTGACAGCGGGGGGGGGGGGGGGGGGGGGGGGGGGTTTGTTAATCTGGATCCAACATTAGGGGCCATAGTAAACTAGGGTCTTGAGGATATGTTAGAGTATAACTGATCGGGGCTTCGGTGTATTTATAATAAGTAGAATAGTGGACTATAGCGTGAGAATATTGCTAGGATTTGCTAGATATTCAGGCTTCTATTCTAGGGTTTCTGTGCTCGCATTCGGACATTCTTCCGTGCCAAACTGAACCTGACTTCATTTCTGCCCGCCCGCCTTGTGATGCTTGACCACCTCATCCGTGTTCTTCCGCGCAGTGTCCTCGCGAGCCAAGGCCAGCTAACAAGGCAAGCTAAGCACGGTGCGCTGCAGTGTCCGGCATGCACAGAGGAAGGAATGCAGCAGAAATCGAAGATGACACGATCTGAGCGAGGCAAGGAAGCGTGCAAACAAGTCGTGGTGCTGCAGGGGCGCACAACCATCTCATCGGCATGGAAAGTGTTTCTCTAGCAGTGAGTCCACGCAGCAGCAACGCAAGGGGGACAACTGTGCAGGCACAAACGTGCTCACGAGGCTGTCAAGCCGTGTTCCTAAGAACAATCGAGGACCGCAGCTCATCAGTGTGTTTGTCGTGGCGGCGGCGACTGTGGCAGTGGTTGCAACTGTGGTGGCGGAGCTGCTGTGGCTTGCCCTCCTGCTGGTGCTGCTGTCCGAAACGTGACCAGTCAGGGGCATCAGTACCATCATAGACACAGGTTAATCAGTGCTTGCGAACATGATTGCTGGGTTGTGCTCCGTTTAAATTTAGCTTGACACATTTGCTGGTTAAACTACACATGCGCTCCTCATGCACGTATTGGCGGAGAAGGATTAGGCATGACAGGTGCTGGTGAAGGCAGTAGCAGTAGTAGCAGTAGTAGTAGCAGCAGGAGTAGTAGTAGTAGTAGTAGTAGTAGTAGTAGTAGTAGTAGTAGCAGTAGTAGTAGTAGTAGCAGCAGCAGGAGTAGAAGCAGGAGTAGTAGTAGTAGTAGTAGTCGTCGTCGTGGTGGTGGTAGTAGCAGCAGCAGCAGCAGTAGCAGTAGCAGTAGCAGTAGTAGTAGTAGTAGTAGTAGTAGTAGTAGTAGTAGTAGCAGTAGTAGTAGTAGTAGTAGTAGTAGTAGTAGAGTATTCAGCTTGGCATGTCGTGGGTTGCAGACGGTAGTAGTAGCAGTTGTTGTCAACTGCAGAAGTAGCAGTATGGCGGCCGGCTTCGCAGTAGTGCAGCGTAGCAGAGAGATCAAAGCGATTCCATGGCCTAACGAAGCAGCATGCAACTTAGTTCTGAACTTTCTCGAACTTGAACTACGTACCTCGAGACTTAAGAAGCAACTGACCCGCCTGGAATTCCTTCAGCCGTGCCTCCTTCCTCAGTTGACGGAGCGGGGTGGCGGAGAAATGGCTTCGTGTAGCACAGGACCTGTTGTCCAAAATGCGGACCAGCATACCAATGCTCCTTACATGCCCGACAACAGTGAT